CACTAATGATGTCACCTCGATTGGTTATGGAACGTTTGCAATCCAACCGCTAAGTTCAGCGAACAGGCCAACAACGAAACAGCGCACCCGAGCTACTTGTGTTCCGGAACATCACTATGGAATCCGGCTTGACACTGATGATAATTCCTCCATTCGTTTACTCCCTCCGCTCGTGTAATTTTGATGTCCACCTGTTTTGTCCGCTCCTCCAACCCACTACTCACTTCGCAAGGGCCGTCTCGCCCGATGCGGCTATACTAGCATGTGTGTGCGTGTCAATAGCCCACTGACCTGCATGTGTTCATGCCTCGTTTGCTGGACCTGTTCGGTCGCGATACCCGTGCGATCGCAACGCCAATCAGATTCACGAGACTGGCCTCGGAAGGGTCGACCGCAGCCAACACTAACTCACCATCTTGTTTGGTTAGTGGACCTTGACACTGCACTGTACCGGTCAGTGACAGATCTGTGTATTGGTGATGCCATGAACGTGGACGATTGAGGTTTCTTGTGTAATTTGGCTTACATTTTGGTAAATGGCGCCGTAGAGTTTTAAACCTAATTCTTCCTTTCGCTATTCGGGATCATCAAAACTACACATAACCAAGTCTCGTAATAGGAATGTCATTAGCCAACCAGTCAGAAAATCCCAAAACAGCCCACTACGTTTCGCCCTTCTTGGGACCTATCGGAGTCATAGAATAATGTACAAATCGACTTGGAATAACGACAGACTTAACTGGATCTCCCGTTCTAAAACGCCCCTAATTAAGTTTGTTAGGTTTGGAGGAGGCGTGGCGTCGTGCTGTTGTACTATTCCTGATGGGGCAGTAGTAATGAACAGCAAAACTGCCAATTTTTCCCGAAGCAGCTCGTCTGCTATCGTGTAGATATTCAACGAGCGGCAATTAGGTGAATTATCCAATCAGAGACATTTGGACACTATTCTGCAAGACAAACTGCAAAGTCAGTCAACGAGTGGCTTACATATACAAGTGAGTTAAACGTTCTTGCAAAAAACCTAGGCACTATTTCTCTATGCACAACTGATTCATTGAGAGCCTACTACTATCTTGCGACGCCAGACGAGGAATACTTCTAAATCACGGGGTTCAGTGCATACCAAAGCAGAATCAACATATGTTCCGACTCCGATTAATTTGTGCTTTCTTAATCGGGCAGCGCAGCTGCTAGGCTCTGCTAAGGGTCATATGATTGCGCACGCCAGCGAACTAAAAAGTTGCAGAGCAAATATATCAATCGGGGTAAGGGAATTTTGTGATAGCATGAGAAACGATGCGAAGTGATGCGAGGAGTGGACAGAAACCTCCAATATCGCCAATGTTGAACTGACCCGATGACAACGGTCCCGCACATATTCAGCCACAAAGGTGAAAGATGAGGTTGTTCCACCAGCCACAGTGGCAGTAATGACAGTTCAGCTCAGTTCAGTTTGCCAACCGTAAGCCATGTATCCACGAATCAGACCGCAGCAGCGTATAGTATCAGACGGTGTACGATATAGTGGAAAACAGGCAACAAAAAAAGAGCAGTGAACTTATGATTAGGAACAAAAGAGTGGACACAGTGTATGCGGTTGCGTAAGGTCGTCATGTCAGTGAGTGCCTTCAAACATTGATATATTAGATATATAATACCTTAATGTGCAGAGGGTCAATAGGACGGATGTGTTACGTGCGGTTACGGACCAAACAAAGGCATGACCTTATTGGTCAGAATGTCAGCCAATCTTGATCGAGCATCCTTAGCTTGACGTTTCTCACCCCCTCACGGAGATCCTAGCACGACTTTGTGGAATACTCTGTTATTACTTTTTTAATACAGTTGTGGTAATCTTCCTTTGTTTCCAGAAAAAGTCTGTCTGAAGCTACCGTGCCTTTTGATATACCATAGTGAGTGGGAGAGGAAGCCAAGGACAGACACAGTTGCACCACCGTTCAGAAGACACAACCTTCACCAACGCAGCTACGAAACATTGTTATGTTTTTCCTGCTTCTTATCTAAGCCATGCGTTGCCAACCTTGTGGCACCTCCCAGTGGGAGCTTGCTTCAGCAAACACGGCATGGCGGGTTAATTGGTCGCCTGACATTCGAAGCACACGATTCAAACAGCATAATTGGGGCAGTCAAATCAAACCATCAGTTTGACTATCATCTGGCTTGTTGCACCGCTAGCCCCGCAACACGCGTAATGTCATCGATATTTGAATACAAGCAATCTTCCTTTTTCATCAGTGCACACCCCAGAGGCTTTACACGGGACGCACTGTCGCGTTGCAGAACTTCACTTCACTGATAGAATAATATTATGTCGATGCAGATATACATAAGTGGAAGGCCTTAGCGTGAGAAACGTTACATACAAGTCAGCCAAAAATGCCCACGACCTCAAGTGGTTTCCATGCCATGACCAAATTTAATGGTGTGCCCAACCAGTTCCGCGGTAGCGCTGCACCACGAAAGTGCAAAACGCATGGCATTATTGAGGTAATTTAGTGCATTTGGTATCCGAATAGAGTCTGGACCAAGTAGCGTGATGTCGTCTGCATAATCGAGGTCCCTAGGCTGCAGTGATGGAAGAAGTCCCATGCTTCGGCGAATGGTGTGTATGTTTGAAAGTATCAGGAATCTAGAGCAACCGATGTGAAGGTCGAAAAACAATGTAAACGCTTGAGACCTAAGAAAGGTTATTTTCGAGGTGGCAGAATGTAATGGTAATGAGACATGTATTCACCTGGCAGCAGAGTTAATTAGGATTTCTGCAGAACCAAGCCCACTTCGTCCCGTGCCGAATAGCACTGGTAAATACATTCGACGTGTTTCTTCGGTTTCTAATGATGACGGGGCCTTCAATGGAGGCGTTGCAGCTGGGTGGCACGGTCCAGCAGTCGAACCTTCAACAGCCGGTTGCAGATTGTCTAACCTACACTGATGTGCAACAGCGCAAGTACTTTATTAGTACGTTTGTCGTGACAAAAAAAGAAACAAACTTTCAGCGAAAGTCACGGAAGTTGAACTGCTCAATAACGGCGCAGTTCCTTGAGCAACCAATTAATTGGCCATCATTCGTTAGCCTGTAGTCAAGTACTTATGTGCATTTTCAGTGAATTGTGCTCCCAGTATCTAGCTTCGGACAAGGATCCCGACTATATGCCAGTTTGCCAGACCTATCGTTGTCTGTTGGTACCTCAAATACGACATTATGGTGGAATCGTGGAAGCAGTCTACTCACGCTGTCAGCTAAGTGGCAGAAACAGGGTTGAGGAAGTGGTTCACGCTTCAAGTCTATCGGTCGTACAATGTCCTTCCTGAAGATGTAATTTTAATCGCTTGCTTACCTTCTTTAAGAAGCGACTCCACACACGAAATCTTTAATTGGTGCGTAACAATACAACAGTTCATAGACATTCTCTACTCGTTTTACTGAAGAAACTTTCCAGCAAATATCCTTGTACTTGCAATTTTACAGCTACCAAAATAAACCACAGGCAGGTATCGAGCGACCTGCTCTGATTTTATAAAAATGGCAATGGAATGTGATCAACCATTCGGAGTGCATTTGAAAGTTGAACTGGTTATTCAGGCACTTTTTAAACGGTTGCAGTGCAATCATGACAGCATCACGTGGTACCCTAGCTTCGCCTACATCAGTCACGCAATACGCAGACCAGTGTCCCAAAAAAGAGCGCATACAGGCCACATTCGTACACACTGGTCGTGTGGAATACTACAGAGTCGAGAGAATCGGCGTCTCGTTAGGATTATTCCTACAGCTGGATTGCATCCTATTGGTGGATTCTGTATACCGAGACTGTAGGAGTTTTTCGATACTCTCGCTCCAATAGTATGAATAGCTCACATCTGTGAAAATACGGTGATCGCTTGAGCACGAATGCGAATCACGATACACTGTTTTCGTCGGCTTTTTCCGAAGGGCATGATCACATACGCAGCTTCGATTTCTGAATTCTACTCTGTCGAGTTTAGGGCAGCTCATTTTCAGAAACCGTGATAACCGTATCACTGACCATCAAGCAAACTGGAAGACCGAGCACTCATCCAGTACAATGACTGGCACAAATGCCTGCGTTTCATGCTGCTTGTCAGCTAATTGGATCCAAAAATACTGATTTCGGAATAGTGGTTTCACGGGGTTGTGCAGATTCGGTCGTAAACGCAATATTACTTTAACCAAAAAGGTGATACCTATCTATTATCAGTTCATACGATTTTACGAGAGCTGTTGAATAGGTCAGAACATGATTTCAGTGAGGTCACACTGCAAGCGCCCAACTCACACGTCAAACGACCATAGTTGAAGGCTCGGTGAGGCACAGAGTACACAACGTTGGCAATGAATAACTGACGAAATTCGATTCCAATCCTCTTCTTGTTTGGAACAGCCAAAGTTAAAACTGGACCCGGTTCTGAAAGTTTTTCCAAAAAGTGATGGGTTTGTTCCTGATGGTCCTTGGAATAATGAGATTTTGGTTGGCACAACAAATTGCTACACATAATAATCATAATATAATAATAATAATAATAATAATAAAACAACCGCTCAGCCGTAACACCCTTCTGGTATCCAGCTGCCCGAAGGAAGCACGAGGGCTGATATTCTACCAGGTTGATCAAGCCTAGACAGGAGCAGTCAACCTGATCAGTTAGAACCATGGACATTACGGTTGGTAAGATCCCGTCTAAATTACTGCGAAGAACAGTTCCACGAATCCCGCTCCTCATAAGCAATCAGTGCATCGCCCTTGCAAGTTGCTTGCTCCACAACCTGCAACCATTATAGCGCTTGTTCGTTCGATCAACTTGGTAAGCACCAATTAGTGCATACCAGAGGAGAATTTTTAATCAAGCACATCCAAGTTCGATAAAAAAAATCACCCTATCACTACCCTATTCTTCCTATTCCCCCATTCCACATTCGCATCGTCACTCTCAGACAAACGGAAAACACCATTTCTGTACGGAATAGCACTGTACAAAGTAACCGAGACAACTGAAGTCAACAATCCGATGTGTGCGTTTGGGCAAACAGAATGAAAAAGGAGGAAGATGAAAAGGAGGAACGCGATTATGTGGCACATGGCTGGAAAAAAGTGTAAGTCTGCCGGTAATGTAATGAAATCTGGCGCGTTTGGGGAAGAACTAGGGCTGTGCTAGAGGGCATGGATGAACTTCTTACAATGTGGACAGGGAATGGGGAGGTATCCACATCTGACGGTTGGGATGCCCGAATTTATCAAGTCGTCCAAAGGTGATATAAAAATGGAACCACTGCTCACCAGGTGTCCTGTCTACATTGGAACTGGACTTCAAAAGTAGCAGTTACCGCAAGGTTCATCCTATTTAGGTTTGTAACAGGACCGATGTTGTTTGGCGGAAGTCATGGGTCGTACGGCTCCCAAATACCTTCCTTGTAGCCTTCATCGACATGTTCGAGCAGTACTCTTCTCCGACTCGCACAGTATCGTGCTTTATCTTGCAATTTCTGTTTCAATTCATTCAAACTGGTTGTACACAGGTCACGATCTAGCAGACCGGATAGATATTCCGTGGACAGTTCCAAGTCACTCTGATTCCTCTCAAACAAAATCGAATGGTTGTTCTTCTTTAGAAAAAACGCAAACACATAAGTGTACATCAGTGTTCGGCGACAGCTACACAACACATCCACCACTTTACGGATAAACTTGACATCGATCCAAGATGTCCCACTATTTTGCATTGCATCCATTTTCTCCTGAACCGACTCATAAAGGCGGGCTTCGAAGCGTAGTGATTGCAGGTGACTGAAATATCGATTGAAATAAAACAAATAACGATCCAGATTGCGTCGTGACTGCGCCTGGGCATCACGTGCCTTTTTAGCCGTGTCCTCATTGTATCGATTGCATTTGTACCACCCGGCACCATGTGGTTCCCATCGATCCAAACATAGCCAACAAAACTCAAATTTACAGTCGACATTACGGCATATCATGTGGTTGCAACCGCCGCTCTTCTCAATGGTGGCGTGGCACTTTGGACATTCTTTGGTGTTGGCAACGATCCAATTTGATGTACCCGAATCATCGGAGACCCGTTTAAGCCAATTTTTTAGCTGATCACATCGAACCGGGTCATGCCATGGCTGACTACACGCGAAACAGAAAGACTCGGAACAATTGGTGCAGTTAATTTGGCGAGGCTCTTCAGGACCCAGGCACCGTGCCGCATAGCCACAATCAGCTCCGGGACACCAGGTGAGCGAACGGTTGTGCATGACGAAACTGTTGGATATGAGTTTTTGAAATCGTCTGCGGACATTCGGGTTGGTGATGACCCGAAAGACGGATTCGTCTTCAATTAGAACATTGCACCCATAGGAGGGACAGTAAATGCGGTCACCTTGGCTCTCCTCCATGATTTTCCACTCTAGGTACCGCTGCCAGCAGGCAAGACAGAAATAGTGCCTGCACGCAAGACCTTGCATCTGATCTTTACGAGAACAAGGAAAGCAGGGGTGGAAGGTCAAAGATAAATACGTGTTAAATGCGAGAGTAACAAACACGAAATATGAAAAGAGGAACCACAATCTGAGATAGTAAAATGTTCACATCGTAACACGGATGGCTGCATTCAGTAGGATAACTTTCCGGTGACACTACTCACAAGGTTGCTAAAAACTCTTCGACACCCCACGACCGGCTTAAATGTTCCAATTCAGGGGTCATCAGGTACGCGCAGCCCCCAAGTTTCCGTCACCCTTACTGAACCCAAAATGCACGAAATTAGCGAAATACACTCATTTGCACACCTATTCGTTTTTGACGGTAGACTCACCTGGAACCCAGCTAAATCTCTCATTTATGATGTTTTTAAGTAACCTAAATTCAAACCAGAACTACCATTCCTAATGAGGTTGCCTTCCGAATACCAACAGTGGCTCTCCCCGTGGTTGCGCCGTACTTCATGAAAGAAAACGCCAGACAAATACAGTACCATCGAAGTGGAATGTGTATCATCCAAGGCAGTAGACGCTGATACCAGTGGCCACAGTGAATGTCTTATCATTGGTCTTGCCTGTATGCAATGCTCCCCTTCCGCGGCCTCCTACATCTCAAGGTACCGCTTAATTGAAGAGGTAGTCTGAAAACGGGCCAAAATCATACCTCGTTAAGAAAGCTTAAGTTTCGTACAAATTGGGTACACATGAGTTCAGTAACAATGTGGACTATTGGTACTAACTGAAAAGATGTGGCCAACTGACAACACTATTTCACCACGGCATCCAGGAGTCCCAACACTTCAGACCACGACGTCAGCCAGCATATGAAGGCACGAAACAGTTTTTTAGTAGAAAAATCAAATATCAAAGCGATTTAGTCTGAAATGAAAATAATTTCCGATCGATATATACGGCACCCAAACCAGACGTAAATTTTGACATCTATAGTTGCTCCGTCTGTTCCGCTGAATTATTTGTCCCTCTCCGGGGAGAAGCGGGACAGAGCACTTCAGAGATTCTGGACACATATGGTTCGGGTGTTCATCAGATATGACGCATCACTTTGAAAAGGGTAATAAAAGTGATGAAACGATGGCCGCACATGCTCCTAGGGGACATCTAAGAAAAGAACCGCTGATGTTTGGTTCACGGTTTAGGTTCCAAGGTTTAGGAAACGCAATTCGCGAACAGACTGGATGAATCAGTCTTCTCGGGAGTCGCAGTTACAGAGAATTGGTTTGGAGAGTTTCAGGGAGGGCAAAGGATCGAGAGCAGAGATTTTGGGCAAAAACATTGGACTTTTGTAGAACGGGTCGGTGAAACAAAACCGTTTGGCGATATTTTACCGTGTCAAGCATCGTTTCAGATGAGGGAAACTCTGACCAATCCGTTCCATACAAGAAGCAATATGATATCAACTAATGGTACAGTAGTTTTATTTCTACTGGAATGTTGTCTCGTGGAGTTGAAACGAAAATAGTTGGTAGCACCAGAAATTCGAAAGATGTGGGAGCTGATTTGAATCACCGAAATTGTACGCTAGACCGTGTTCATTTGTGGCAGCTTGCTCACCACGAGGATCGCAATAATGAGCCACCGAAATCGTTTCTCCATATGAAGTATTTTTAATTTTTTTTTAGTTCGTTGGTTGACCCATAAAAAAAGGGAGTTATGTTCAAACAAGAATCCTCAGTCGTTGAGCCGAAAGACAAAGACTGTAGGTCGTAAAATGCTGGTACGTACATCATATTGCGGCAAACGGAGCGAGTCAACTGCTGGAAATTAAAGGCTTGAAAAAAACGGTAAATCTATAGGAAACAGGTGTTCCACCTGACCTGCACTGAAAGATCAAGTGCACAGATTGTTTTTCATAAGCAAGCCTATTTTGGAGAAGCTGTTGGAAGAGCAGTCCGGAAATATAGCGGGACAGCTTAGCATATATTAGGTGTCACATCGAATAGTTGGTGGAGGCACTGTACTTTGCAGCACGGTTTGTAGCTGAAAAAAGCCGACTGGCTGGATCGGAAAACTCCAACAGCACCATTGTGCGAATTTGAGTGGTGTGTGATGAAACCGATGTGAAATTAACACATCCAAAATCGGCTAACGATATTGATCCAAAATGCTATAGGCTACGCTGTAGGAAATATCCACACTGCTGAAAATTTGTTTTGCCCGGCAGGATCTGAATGCGTAGGCTAACTAGGAATTTTATTTACAGTTCGAGGTTCAAATAAAAAGTAAGTGGTTTTCAACGCTTGGGTATACTTAATTGGTAGTTTTAGTAGCTCTGTGGTAAAACGGTATTATTAATACCCAGTGTTTCAACTCTGGTGATTGTGTCGACGCTGCTGAACAAGCAACGAAGTGAAAAACAACTGATTGAGCTTTACATATAATCAGAGGGCCCTGAAGTACGCCACATACAAGCCAGTACAAGGTAATTGCTCCAAAAGATATTGTTTCCATCCGCTTGATGTTCTGGGACACAACATCTATTTCTATAGAGCCATGGGTCTGTAGATGTTGAAATTTGAAAGAGAAAGTATTAGAAAGCAGAAAGTCGCACGGGTGTGAAAGTATACAAGCGAAATAGGGACGTCATGGGAAAATACAACCACAATAACCAACACCCCCTCGAAAAAAATTCTCAGGTTTCCAAATTCTGAACTGAATCAGTCCTCTAAACAGTTGGAGAAAAACGCAGTTGGTATAGCAAATATTTTCATCTCAAACAATCGCTCCCAAATAAACCAAGTCAATGTGTCTCGAACGAGTCAGACTTAAAGGTAGAACTTATTGTGACACGGTATTGAATGTCTTACCAGACACTCCGAACACCCAACTATTGGACGTGATCACCATCGAACAATTCAATACGGTCGGATTATGATTAAAACTGATCAGGAGCCTAATGAGGTTCCGAGCGCAGTAGTATCAACCGCTTTTAAAACTTGTCATTCACCAGATCTCACCTGAAGCCCCTTCTCACCCTTCAATTAGTCCAGTCAGTCGGTCACCTAACCATCACTCCGTATCTGTACCGTCTGCAGGTAAAATAATTCTTTAATGAACCCAAAAGATGTGATCCGTGTTGCAGCGTCCGATGCCCATACCCTCTGTCACATTGGGCAACAAGCAACCCTGCTGAAGCCCTGCTTTTCTCTTCCATCCATACATGTTGTGTCTCCACATACAAGAATCCTGTTCCGTTTGTGTCCCAAACCGCTTAGGACGAGCTCGAATGTATCTGGTGATCCTGACTCAATGGCTCGTGATATCTATGGTGTGGTAGTCGCACTCGTCCTCAGGGCTAAAGGCGCTTCTTTTGGCGTGATTCTGGGAAGCGGCTGCATAAATTTCTGGTTTAACTGAGATGAATACAATTGGATGCGGCAAACGGCCCATTTGTACCTGGATAGGCAAATTGATTTTCATCATGCCATCGTTCCCTTATCAATTACCTTTTCTCCAAAGACTACGAACGCCAAAGCAATACAGTGCCGTTTAGCGAGTTCAAATAGATTAACAATATCGAACCCATTTGGTTAGAGGTCTGAAAGGATAATCTATTGGTAATTACTTAAGAAGGGGGCTTGCATCTCGGAGTTAGGCAAATGGTCATCGCATAAGAAGTGTGGAACGACATGATTTTTTTCGCGAACCTTACGCAAATGGGAAAAAGGGTACGTTTTATCTTACTTGATTGACCTAATGTGAGGCAGCCGGAATATATACCTTGAAGAAAGCAATTAGGGTTGTGACAATTTCCGCTAGTTAAGAAATTCAATAACCCGTGTTCTCTCCTCAAAAATCCATTTTCCACGACTTTTCCTGTCTAGTTCTGTTTTCCATTAAGGAAGGACCCTGGTTATGCAACATTTCGATTCACAGCCAATGTGAGTGCGTTAAAGCTGCTGGAATGTAAAACGACAAACTAAGTTGCGTCTGTTTCTACGGTGACGACGTGCACCAGTGGACGTAGGCAGTGTGAAAAAAGAAAACGGGTCTGGGCTACGAATGTCAAAGGGATCACAGTAAACAAACGGCACAGTAGAAGAATTTTTTTCACAAACGGAACAGACGGGACGAAAATGACGCCAGTGTCATCAGAGCGATGGATGTTCGCCAAGGCTTTGTTAAACCGGTAGATTGAAGCCGTAAAAGGGGTGGTCTGACAAGGGCAAATGAATTTTAGGAAGGCAACCAATGAGGCAAGCCTCATTGCTAAACGGCGGTTGTCAGGATATCTATCACAATATGTGGGAGAAATAATTTGGCTGGAGTGACGGGTGGTGACACTATTACAGCCAGTGGTGGCATAACAAGGGCAAGCCGTATGATCGAAAAGCGCCTCGTCCCATTCCATAAAATGGAGGGTCTTGACGACACCTTTCCTTGAGAGAGGTCAGCAGATTTTTAACCACTGGTTCGAATGAGTCACGTACGAGCAATATTACAGATACGTAATGAATAGAAAGGGATAAGGCTCTTCTACGACATGGTCTCTAACCATTGGTGGTATGAAAACAACGTATGAACGCATTATGGTTAAACATGGTGGAGAAGTTTAAGAACATAAACCTGATTCCAATACACCTAATGATTGCATAGATGCTCACTTGGTACGCAAAACGTGTGACAATAATAACGAAAGAGACACCGTGTTTTAAACCAGAACACACTACTCACAATATTGGTGGCTACATCAGTTCCTGTGTTTCTGTCAACCTTATGTTCTACATGAACACCAAATTGTGGACGGTTCTTGAAATAAATTCATTTGCAAACCAATTTAGCTTAACCGGGATACAGCTGAATCCCAGCTGACTCTGTCGTTTGTGATGGTCTTCAACTGCAGTAGGAGCGCCTCATTTCTCAGTCAGCTGGAGTTTAGCTGAGTATCTCCTTAGAGCCACATTATTGTGCAAATGAGTGTATTTCATAGATGTGATTTTTTACTGTATCGTGAAGAAAATTGGTAGTGTCAGAATTTTGCACAGATAGCAGCGCAACTCACCGTGAGGGAAATTCATACAGCAAATATCACAGAAACGTTCGGATTTGTTAACCTGAGTTGAGTTGGACGTATGGGAGTCTGTGAAGTAAGCGGAAACATCATAGTGGAAGGTGATCCGCAGAGAAGAGAATGCCTGGAGGTAAATGTGTTAATATAGGGACAACAATGTAGTCTGTTATCCAGCAATAATACGACACACAATGACCTGAATAAATTGTTGAAGGGTGCAGTTAAACCCCTGTGTTGGGATACTGGTGTTCCTGTCCGTAATGACGATGATGTTGACGCAGAAAACCCAACCCAAGCTACGGTACCGGAAACTGCCGGAAAAACGACACAGGGAAGCAGACTTACTGAGAAAATACAGAGCTGAATTGATATTCTGGGGGGTTGGCATCAAGCGGGATGTTCTGTAGCTGTATGACGCGGGTGCAAGCCCACCACAAACTAACGAATTCGTTTACCTTACCCCATTCGATGATGGCTTAATATGTCTACTCTCGATACCTTACCCATGACATCATTAGATTGGCGAGATTGTTGTCTGTAAAGGTTTGATCGATGGGACCAACCGTCGGCCCAATGAGAAACCAACAGTGCTTGACTTGAAGAAGTTCTTATGTTGCTATCCAGGTGTGACACAGTACTCTTCGAAAGCCTACTACCGGTTTCGCCTTTCCACTTCGGGCTCATCAGATAGGCGCAGTTCCCGAGTTTCCGTCAACCTTATGTTCTACTTCAACTCAAATTGGACGGATTTCCACAAATACTCTCCTTTGCAGTACGCGAATTCGGTTTTGACAGGAGACCTAACTGAATCCAGATGAATTTGGACCACAACGCGTTGCGCTATCTCGAATAGCGTACCAAATAAAACATGGGCTAGGCCTGGTAAAACACATCCAGTCGAGGTGGACCATCGTAAACGAGAGATTTAATTGGACTTAGTTGATTCTCCCGTCGAAACCAACTTTGTGTGCAAATGAAGGTATTGATCGAAGTTCTTGTGTCGTTCATCACAGAATTTATCTGTTCACTAAGTCCTTCTGGGAAACAACGTGTCAGTCATCAGCACTCCAGTGACATTAAAAAACCAGCTGGCCCAAACACATCGGGCTGAAAAATACAATGTGACCAGCGCAAGTTGAAAAGCTAAGGCAAGCGCAACTAAAAGTTAGTTGACGGTGAGTTCTAATTGAAACAAATTTAATCTCCAGTCTTCGGGGAAAGAGTTTAGGATGAGGAATGCTGTTCATTTCAGTTGCTCTTGCACGTGACGATTGCCGAAGATGAAAACGGAAACAAGAAAATGAGTATGGGGACGGTGGAACCAGTAACTTGGCTATTCCAATCAGAGTCAATGTTTTTCGCATCCATGTGGGTTCATACTAGGTGCTGGAACGGCTGAGAAGGGCTCATCATCACTGGCTATCCTTCGAGTGGTGGGACAAACAGGGCCAATCACCAAATACGCTCGTCGAGTAGTCTCCATATACAGATAATTAGAGGACAAACATCAATGAACGTCAGCGTATCAGATGAATAGTCGCCATCAGGCGGTGAATTTTTGAGGTTTAACAGCCATGATTCCCGGAAAGTTGTAATTTCATGCGAAACAGGCGGAGAAGTGGTCAGGATCATTGTATATATATATATATATATATATATATATATATAGT